GGGCATGCCTGCCCTCCACTGCTGGGGAGGCTGAGACAGGAGGCACTCTGCGGCTCCTAGACTGGCCAGCTTAGCCGAATCAGGAAGCTTCAAGTTCAGTGAAAGACCTTATAAAAAAAAAAAAAAAAAAAAAAAAAAAAAAAAAGGCAAAAGTGGGGTGTGGCAGCCCATGCCTTTAGTCCCTGCACCCCAGAGACAGCGGAGCTCTGTGAGTTCCAAGCCAGCCAGGGCTACATAGTGAGTCTCAAAACTAACTAACTAAATAAAAAGACTAAATTAAATAAATAATTGATAAAACAGGGCAGAGAGGCACTGAAGAAGACATTCCATATATACCTCGGGCCTCTACACACATCTCCACCTCCTTCCTTTTGATACCTATTTGCACTTCATTTTCTTCCTTTCTTTTTTTAAAAAAATATTTATTTTTTATTTGCATTGATATTTTGCCTACATGTGTGTCTGGGTCAGGGTGTCAGATCTCGGAGTTAGAGACAGTTGTCAGCTGCCATGTGGGTGCTGGGAGTTGAACCCGGTTCCTCTGGAAGGGCAGTTAGCGCTCTTAGCCATCTCTCCAGCCCTCTTCCTTTATTTCTTATGCCACTTTAATTTCTTTTTACACGTATTTAATGTGCTAACGGGGTGGGGTGGGTGGCTACGCGGCCACCACCTTCTAGTGGAGGTCGAAGGCCATCTTGGGGCAGTCGGTCGCCTTCCACCGCGTGGATCTTACAGATCCAACCCAGGTTGCCAGGCTTGGTGGCAAGCACTTCTATCCGCGGAGCCGTCGCTCTCCTCACCCTTTTTGATGGTGGTGGGGATGGAGCCCGGGGCTTCAGGCATGTTAGGCAAGCCTCTGCCACTGAGCCACGGCCCTTCCTCAAGTCCTGTCTGTCTCCCTAATGCAGTGTTCACCGGCTTTGGTCTGTAGCTGAGCGGCAGGCCACCTCCAGCCTCTTACACATACCTGACTCACCAGGTCCCAGGACCACTCTACAGATGTGGAAACTGAGACAGACCGGAGTGGTCCTCGCTGGAGATCACCTATGAGCAGAACTTGTTTCTCAGTGGGGTCGAGACAGTTCAGGACCCCCCGGCACCCCGAGGTTGGGCGCTTCCGGCTCCGCCAGCGGCCGGCGCGGTAAAGGCCTGAGTCATCGCCGCCTCCAGACGGCGGCGGCCGCCGGCCGAGGGCGACGGCGGCGACGGCGGGAGGTGATGCGGGGACGCCAGGAGGGGGCGTGGGTGCAAAGCCGAGGCTAGGCGACCGCGCGCGCGCTCCTCGCCCCACCCCGCCGCCCGCTGCGCTTTCCAGCCTCCCTCACCCGGGGACCAGCCCAGAGCAGGTTCCTGGGTGCTGGAGGAGACCCGATGTACAAGTTCCCCACCTCCGCCCCAAGTTCCCGTTGTGAGTCAAGCCCTGCGTCGGGACTTGACCGCGAAAAGAACTGTCTGGGTCGGCGGCAGTCCCGAGTGGCACCGCCGCCCTCGCATGAGCAGGGAAACCTCCTGCTGCCCAAGTGACCCGCACTCCAGAGTCTGCACCCGTCACTCTGGGCTTCCCTGGTCCCTGATACACGGGGCATCCCCTTCGGAATGGTCTGGGACCAGGGAAGCCGGGAGAAAAGCGTCCCGGTGCTCGGGAGAGCACCAAAGTCCGGCCCGCGCTGCGCTCTGTGCGGCGTCGCGGGCTCGGGACCGGGCTCCGCACCCGACCGAGCAGGTGGGTGGAGACACCCGACTTCCACCCCCTGTCAGCTGGGAGGGAGGTGTGGGGTGGGTTTTGGGGCGGGAGTGTTGCATGCAAGGGAGCCTGGGGATCGCCACTAGGGTACAGAGGGGACTAGAGCGAAGATGGGGGGGTATGTGTGTGGCTGGGGGGCGGGGCTGGGGATGCCGCGGCGGCGGGGGAGGGGCGAGGATGTCGCCGAAAGGGGATGTCCCCACTTCTGCGGGTGGGGGAAGGTCCGCCAGAGGCTCTGCGGGGAGTGGGGGGCCGGGTGGGTGCACCCCCATTCACCCCCAGCCCCGCGCGGGCTCCAGGGCCGGAGCCGTGACGTCACGGCGGCTGGAAGTGCCCGGCGGTGGCGCGGGAGGGGGTGGCCGAGCCGGCGCCTTATAAAGCTGAGCCCGCGAGGCGCGCAGAGCCGCAGCCGCGCGTCCCCAGTGTCACCCCATCCCCATCCCGCGGGCCACCGCCCCCTTGGACCTGGTCATCTTGCCACCGCGGCCCTCTATCCCCACCCCCCGTGGGGTGGGTAAGCGACAGCTTGAGTGCCGAGCAAAAGGGACAGAACACCTGCTTTTTGGGGTGCTGGCGCGGGGCATGAGGCGAGGGGCGCGATGTCGGTGCCGCTGCTCAAGATCGGGGCGGTGCTGAGCACCATGGCCATGGTCACTAACTGGATGTCGCAGACGCTGCCCTCACTCGTGGGACTCAACAGCACAGTGTCCCGCGCGGGCTCCTCGGAGAAAATCGTGAGTGGCCAGTCGGGCTGGGGGGCGCTCCGGAGGGGGGGCGTGGTGCCCGTAGCCCCCGCAGCAGCTCCTGGGAAAGGGACCCCCACAGCTCCAAAGTGACAGAATCCCGGGTAGAGGCAGGGATTTCTTCTCTGGGGGACGTGATCTCTTGGGGGTACCCGGCTGGACCCCGAGGCACAAGGGAGCCTCGTTCCCCGCATAGCTCTGGGTTTGATGGTTGCATTTGCTGGGCTAGCGTCCTCTCTGAGGGGACCCGTGAGTGCCACCGGGGTACGAGCTGGCTCAAGCCCCAGGCGGAGGCGGCAGGGCTGCGGAATTGAACCAGATCCCGGCAGAGTGGGGCGGAGCTGGGCGGTTTTGGGGGAGCCAGGAGGGTGTTCTGCTGTGTTGGAGTGGGTAGGGGACACCTCCGAGTCTCCATATATCTTCAGCCTCTGGGACTTTGCTTGATTTGTGTCTAAGTGTCACTGAGTAGTGCTCTCTCTCTCCTTTCCCTGAGTCTCCCCTCCCCTTCTATTTCTGTCTTTCTGACTTAGTGTCCCTCTTTTTTTTTTTTTTTTTGCCCGTCTCTCTGTCTTCTGCACCTGGTACCAGCATCTCCCTTCCTGTGATCTGTCTCCCGGAGGACTGAATATTGATCCCCTAACTCCTCACCCTGGGAGTTAAGAGCTAGGCTCAGACTGGGGCAGAACTCATTAGTCTCCCTTCTGTTTTATCCCCCCCCCCCTTCTCCTCCTGGTAGCTTCCTGCGGGGGGAGGGGCGCGCTTAGTTCTATCAATCCCGGTGGCTCTGTCCTGTTGACGGGGAAGGATGCTCTTCCATTGAAAACTTCCCTCATGCCCCGCTCCCTGTCCCTGTGGGAGCCTCTCTGATCTTGAGTCTGTTTGCAGGACTCCCCTCAATTCCACCCATCCGTCTTCCTCTTCTTCCTTTTATGTTGTTACAACCTCGCTGGTCCCTTTTGCATCCACAATAACCTCTCCTCTCCCCACCAAAAAAAGGACTCTGCTCCCAAAAGCTGCAGCTGTGGGATGTGAGGGAGTGAGGCCACCAGGGTATGGCCAATCCCGGGCCAGGGGACACACGGTACTTGACACAATAGCTAGCTCTCAGCCCCGGTCTTCAGGCTTGCAATCCCTTGCAACATGGTGTCTTTTTCTGTGTCTGTGGCAGCAAGTGTCACTATATGGGGATGTCTTGGTCTGTCTGCCCCTGTGGTTTGGGGGTGTGGAGGGGCCAGTGAAGAGAAACTTCAGTGTGTCTCTGACATAAGGGTGCAGATGTGTTCTCCCAAGGGTGGGTGTGTCCCTGTGTGATTGCTTTTGGGTGGACACGAATCTGACAGTGTGTCTGCGGTTGTATGTCCCTGGCTACGGGTGTGGGTGTGTTATCTGACATGAGTTTGTATGCACAGGTGTGACACAGCTTTCTGACTGTTGTCATCTGAAGGGGGACAGTGATGGTGTCATTGAAGTCATAAACCAAACTCACCTTTCCATCCAAGTGGGAGTCTGTGTGAGAGTGTCTGTGTGTGCAAGGACATGTGCATGGTGTGTCAGAATGTCTCTGAGTTATGGTTTTTGTTTATGTTTAGTACATTTAGTGTGTGTGTACATGCAAGCATACCATAGCGCACATGTGGAGGTCAGAGGACAACTTGCAGGAACCATTTCTCTCCTTCCGCCGTCTGGGTCCTAGGGACCAAACTTAGGTCACCAGACTTGGCGGCCAGTGAGTTAGCCCAGCCTTGAGTTGTGGTTTTGAGTGTTCATACATTATATTTTTGTATGCTTATGTTTATATTTACACATGTTTGTGGACGCTTGGCTGGTATGCATGTGTGCTGCCTTTTGTGTGTTGTGTTTCTATGAGTGTGTTTGTGAACCCAGACAGACCTGCCCCTGGGAGCTAACAGCACCTTGGTGTGGAATCCCCCCAGCCTATCTGCTGAATCCCCCCAGTTCTCTCATGCTCACTCAGCCCTTTTCAGCCGGTTCTGCAGTCTTTCCATGGCTTCCCCAAGTGCTCTTCAGGGGGAGCTGCCGAAGGGGTTGGGGCGATGCCTGGGAGGTGACCATGAGGAGAGGGTGCTCAACAAGGGTCTTGGAGCTGGGAGACTCCTACCTACTGTAATCCCAGCAATTGGGAGGGTGAGGCAGGAGAGTAGCTACAAGTTTCGGGTCAGCCAAGCCATAGTGTGTCTCTTTCTCAAAAAGGGAAGAGACGGAGGACTGGAGGGTTAACTTAGCATTAAGACCACTGGCTGCGGGGTTGGGGATTTAGCTCAGTGGTAGAGCTCTTGCCTAGCAAGCACAAGGCCCTGGGTTTGGTCCTCAGCCCTGGGGGGGGGGGGGGAAGAGCACTGACTGCTCTTGCAGATGACCCAAGTTCAGTTCCCAGCCCCCATAAATGGTGGCTCACAACTGTCTGAAATTCAAATTCCAAGGCCATCGATGGCTGCTTCTGGACCCTGAAGTCACTAGATGTGTGGTGCACAGACATACATGTAGACAAACATCCATACACATACAAAAATGAAAGAAGAGGGGGGAAAAGGTTTTTTTAGGTCTATGTAGAATCTGGATTACTCCAACTTGTTCTCCAACTCTGGCCAAAGCCAGTAGCATCCCAAGCTATTGACTGAGAAAGTCAGTGATAGGTCAGTCCTGTCTCACAGAACTGTGGGCAACAGAGATCTCTTCAGATCCCCATCCATCCATCCATCCATCCATCCATCCATCCATCCATCCACCCAGCCTTCTATCTACTACCCAGTCACCCATCCATCCACCTATCCATCATCCATCCATCCGCCCAGCCTTCTGTCCATCTACTACCCAGTCTTTCCATCCATCCATCCATCCATCCATCCATCCATCCATCCATCCATCCATCCATCCATCCATCTATCCACCCATCATTCTAGCCACTCATCTACCCTCCTATCCTTCCATCTATCTTTCTGTTCACCCATTCATGCGCCCTTCCATCCATCTTTCCTTCTATTCATTCATCCAGCTAGCCATCCTGCCATCTTTCCTTCCATCCACCCAGACAACCATCTATCCTTCTTTCTACCCACCCTTCCTTTCTTTCATTCATGGGTCCATTTACTCATCTTTCCATCTGTCCCTTCATCATTGAACCTGCCTCTCTATCCATCCATCCATTATCCTGACATGGGTTCATCCTTCCTTCCATATATACACATACACATATACATACATATGTGCATACACACACACACACACACACACACACACATCTCCATGCATTCACCAATCCCTCTTTCCATCCATTACCCACCATCCAACCATCTGTCTGCCTACTACCCACAATCTGTACTTCCAACATCCATATCTCTATCCATCCATTAATGCATCCCCCTAGACATTTAATTTAACAAAACTACCAATTGTCTCTTCTGTGACAAGTATGTATACACTGAAACAAACCTTCCTGCCCTGGGTCTTTCAGAACAGATGCTCTGTCAGCGGTAGGATTTTGAGTTGGATATGTGTGAATTTTAATTCTGGCCCTGCAACTTAACAAACCATGTGACTTTGGGGGAAATCATTAGATCTTTCTAAACACCAATTTCCTTATTAGGTAAGGAGACTTCAGAGTCTCTTTTAGACGGTAAGACCCGTGAAGGGCTGGAGTTGAAGTTCAGTGCTAGAGTGCTTGCCTGGTTCTCAGCCTTGTGTTCAATCCCAGCACCACAAAGACAGCCACCAGCACCTACAAGGAAG